TGGCACAAATAGTAGAATGCTTGCCTTGAGTTGAAGAGTTCAGGGTACAGTGCCCAGGCCCAGAGTTCAAGCCCCACGACTGACCAAAAAAGAAATTTAAGCTTTTCTTTCCTCTCCAGATCCAATGGTTTACACCTGTAATCTTAGCTGCTCAGGAGGCTGAGACCCGAGGATCAAGGTTCAAAGCCATCTTGCTGATAAATCTGAACAATTCTTATCTCTAATTAACCAACCCCCCCCTCCCCCAAATTAAACCCAAAAGTGGAAGTGTGGTTATTTGGAGAAACAATGACAGGAACAGCTCCGAAAAGCTGTCTTTTTGTGAAGAAATATGCAGCTGTCTCTATCAGTAAGGTGGCTGTAGACTGAAGGTTTTCTTTTTCTTCTTCTTCTTCTTTTTTTTTTAATCATGAGGCTTGAACTCAGGGCCTAGGCGCTGTCCCTGAGCTTTCTCACTGAAGGCTAGTGCTCTACCACTTTAAGCCACAGCACCACTTCTGGCTTTCTGGTGGTTAATTGGAGATAAGAATTTCACAGAATGGGCTGGGAAGGTGGCTCAGTGGTAGAGCACTTGCCTTACATGCCTGAGGCCCTGGGTTTGATTCCTCAGCACCACATAAGAAAAAAGCCAGAAGTGGCACTGTGGCTCAAGCGGTAGAGTGCTAGCCTTGAGCTGAAGAGCTGAGGGACAGCACCCAGGCCCAGAGTTCAGTCCCCACAACCGGACCCAAAAACAAACAAACAAAAAAAAAAACAAACAAGAATCTCACAGATTTTCCTACCCACACTAGCTTTGAACCAGGATCCTCAGATCTCACCCTCCCGAGTAGCTAGGATTACAGGTGTAAGCCACTGGTGCCCTGCTGGCAAAGGAGTTTCTAACTGCTAACCTGCTATCTGCATTGGAGGAGTCTTCCCCTAGAAAGAAGACCCAGGGAGGCTGATACCTGGCTCAGCCAGCAGATCACAGCGGGCAGCCACCTGGGAGGCTCATCTGCAGACAGGACAGCAGCAGTGGCTTGCTGCATGATCTTCCTCCAGAATAAAAGGTGCTGTGGAAGCTTTGAGCTACTATGAAGCGAGTGGTAATCACATTTCTACCATTTCCTGTCCCGTGCATGAATCCATTGGTAGGCCTCTCCTTTTCCTGTTTAATCCTGACAGGGTGGAGGACAATTTTCCTTTCATTCCTACCCTGCCAAGAAGATCTTCCTATAAATATTGTCTGGACGATGTCTTCTCTTCTGTTCTCAGCCATTACCCTATGGTTCCCTTCCTTCCTGAGGGGCTCTTAGATAATCCTACTCAGAGAAAGATCTGGCTTCAGTAGTGGTGGGGGAGAGGCGGGACGGGGGGGGGAGGGGGGAAGAGCTGGTGGTGGTGTAGATTAAGTCCCTGTTTTGCTTTCTTCCAAAGTAGCAATCGCCCCCATCCTACCCCTTAATCCCCCAGAGGTATTTCTGATTTATTCTGCCTCCATTTCCCCTCACCCTCCACTTCCCCGTTCCTCCATCTCTAAGACAGCTGGGCAGACATGTCTGCCAGATGCTCTTCTCTCCTGAGCCTCCCAGAAACCCTTGGCTGAGCCTGGCAGAGGATTTGAATCAGGCCCAGTCCCATCCTCAAATATGAATCTGCCCATTGTACCCAGCAGGCCAAGGCTGTCCCTAAAGTAGATGGACAGAGGAAGGAATGTCTCAAAGCAAGGGAGACTCCCCGTTGAGATCTGGGCAGAACTCTTTGCCAAGGGCAGCCAGGAGAGGGGTTTAATGGGACATCGATGCTTTAATGACAAAGATGATTTTTTTCTTATCTATTATTCATGTTTTTATTTCTGAGGTATTTCGGGTAAATTTTCTAGGTCTGATCTCCAGAGAGGACAAGAGAGGAAGAATGAATGCTAAGTGAACGTGGACAAGGGGTTGCGTTCCGGCACTCTCTGGTAGAGTGACTGTGGTGACAGTCAGGGGGCTGGTGTGGTGTCCTGCTGTTCCATTCCAACCCAGACCTGCTACTTTTTCCTGGCCACAAGTCAGTAAGTGATCTATGTAACACCTGTCACCTTGAAGTCCCCGGAGGCTCAAACATGAAGCCTTCTGTCCACACAACCCAGTCTAGAGGAACAGCCCCACCGATCATTATTTCTAAGGATCATACCCATTTTATGGAGAGGAACACTGAGTCAGTCGGCTGCTTCTGTCTCGCCGAACTGCTCGGTACACACAGCTTCATTGGGAATGGCTCAGCCTCTGAGCCTTCTGAAACACTGTTTTCAGGTTGAATATGTACTTTCCCCTGACCATCGTAGAAGGCAGAGACACACACCAAACTCACAGGCTGGAGAATATTCTACCCGATCTCTGAGTCATTGGTGAGGGCACATTCAAGGCTACCCAGATTCAAGGTGTTCCCCTGGTTGTGTAAGTTTTGAATGAATGGGTGGACACTTTTGCATATCAGAGCCTTGGCCCACTGAGAAAGGGCAACCTGAAACTAATTTTCTTCTCCTGACCCCAGGATTATTTATTTATTTGTTGATTGATTATTTATTAGCTGTTTTCCGTATTTCCTTTGCCCAGCTTGGCTCTGGCTTTCTGTGTACTAAACCTCTTGTGGTTGTTATGATGACTTCAGAATACATTGGATAGGTTCAGGAAGCTGAACCAGACAGAGAATAGAACCAATAATTGGGGGGGGGGGAGGAGGAAGGGAGGGAGGGAAAAAGAGAGAGAGGAGGCATGAGAAAGGGGAAGGAAGGGGCAAAGACAGGAGTGAAGGGAGAAAAGGAGGGAGAAAGGGAAGGAGAGAAAGAGGGAGTGAGGTTTCAAAGAAGAAAAAAAGCATCCCAGCTTCCCACAGTACCTGTTTCTGTACTGTACATTCTAATATCCCTGAAACAACGCATCTTTATTTGTAGCCCTTCGGTTTGACCAAGAGCAATAGATCTGTTAACCCTGCTGCTTCCCGGACGATCTAAGCTCTTCTTTTTAACCCTTTCATCAAATGTCACAGCATAAATTCCTTCCACCTCTTACCCCCCCCCCCCCAGCAACCCAACCCTCTACTCTAGCTTGATTTCCCCCTGCTACTAGTTTAGTATATTTATGGCACATGAGTCATCAAGCTATTGCCTGATTGGCTAAAAACCAAGCATCCCCGGGAAGGGGGGGGGGAACCAGCAGTCAATTGAGGCTATTCTCAGCTTCATTCACAGATTTATTAGCTTGCACACGCATGCACACACATACACACACACGCAGAGGGAGAGAAATCATCTGGCAAAGTTCATTCATAAAAATTTCAACACTCCGGGTCCTTCTGCTACCCATGGGCTCTTGGGGGGGGGGGAAGGCTCCCCACCGGGGTACTCTGTGTGTGTGCGTGTGTAAGAGAGAGAGAGTCAGAGTCAGAGTCTGAAGGAGGGAATCTGAAGGCTTGGGGCCCAAGCAAGAGACAAAGTCTTTCAAGAGAGAGCTACCCTCATATATACATTGTAATTATTTCTTCTTCACCCTCTTGCTCCTCCTCCTCCTCTCCCTCCTCCTCCTCCTTCTCTTCTTCTTCTTCTCTTCCTCCTCCTCCTCTCCTCCTCTTCCTCCTCCCCTCCTCCTCTT